ACATATTCAAAAAAGATTATATACTCACCATCGTGTCTCGATGTTGTGCAGTACTGATTGATCCCCCACTGTATATGGATGACACCCCCTCAAATTGTGTGTTCCTATTAGCCCTATTGATCCTAGATTTTCTTTTCCAAGGCTCGGTATCCCAAACCTGTTAAAAACATAGAACATATATAAGGCGGTACAAAACACATGGCAGTTCAAAAAGCTCACAATATAGATACATATTTGGTCAATCATCTGAAGTCAAAACCTCTCTGGGATCTATACAGGATGGTGTAATCTAATCCGTGAGAAGTCCTCACCGTCTCATTGCTGAGCAACAGGATAGGGCTGTGCCACGATCCAGTCACGTGCAACACTCATCTAATCCGAGTATCTATTGTGCATGGCCTTGGTCCATAAATCATGAACCATATCATCCAGCTCTGGTTCCCATTATAACTTAGCCTACATACACAATATTTGTATAAATGTAAAAACAATAACCTAATATGTATAATTACATTAAAATGGTACACCAACTCGAAAGCGCTGGAACATTAAGTCGCGTGCTTCCTGAGGTACTTCCTTCCATCTATGCCACAGACCAGCAAAGGAAGACCTGAATATAGTCGTCATGTCCCGGATAACATGATCATCTTTAAACCTGTACAATTAAAAAAATATTTACTGCACAAAATACATTCATATCATTTTATTATGTAATACAAAGTCTTATACTACATCTACTTACCCATTGCCTAACAAAGAAAGATGTCTACGTTGGCTCGGATGACTCGGTGTCGATATCTCATCGTTGGGGCCTCTCCCCGAACCTGTCGAAGCTGGGGGCTCCATGGCCACCTCTTGTTCATCTAAACCCCAAAAGGCGGCTCCGTAAACTCACCAATGTCATCGGCGTGCGGGTCACCACGCCCGCCAACAAAGTTGTTGCCCCTACCAGACATGGGGCTGCCGCGACTACCATGACGGCCTCTACCACGTTCTCAGTGTGACACCTCCTAAAAAAACAAACATTAGATTATATCATGAAAAAAGATAGCGACAAATCACCATTATATGTACAATTGTGAAATAAGCATACAGAAGACAACCTACATGTAAAGTTTTGACTACTAGAAAGTCAAACCGTAGGTTTAGAGGAATTTCGGATGACTATAAAACTGTAAGTGTAACGGTTTGACTACTTAAAAGTCAAACCGTAGGTGTGATGAAGTTAGCGGTCTTTGAACGAGTTGAGAAGCCTACATGTAAAGTTTTGACTACTAGAAAGTCAAACCGTAGGTTTAGAGGAGTTTCGGATGACTTTAAAATTCTAAGGGTAATGGTTTGACTACTTGAAAGTCAAATCATAGGTGTGAATGAAGTTGGCGGTCTTTGAACGAGTTGAGAAGTCTACATGTAAAGTTTTGACTACTAGAAAGTCAAACCGTAGATGTAAAGGAGTTTTGGAAGACTTTAAAACTCTAAGTGTAAAGGTTTGAACGAGTTGAGAAGCCTATGTTGTTAAAAATTTCGGCGGCATAACGGCTATAAAATGAATATTTTCAAATGAATTAAGCTTAATGTTTGCCCAACAATTGGCAGCCCAACTACAAATGAGTACAATCAAGTCTAACGTTTGTCTAACAATTGGCAACCTAATTACAAATATATATATATATATATATATATATATATAATCAACCCAACTCATATTATATAGTTTAAATAAAATTATATTTTATAAATTATAAAAAAAAACTATGAGGTTTTGCAAGAACCTCAATTCTGGTGTTTTCACCGATATGACAAGTGAAATTCTTAGAGGTTTTCATCACTGTGCATACTCTTAATATACCTCACAAACCTTAACACATATACCTTGTAGAAAACCTTACCTCAACATTAAACCTTGGACGTCGAGAATTTCTAATCCTCCTAATAGAATAATTAATAGAAATTAAATTTGTAGGATCGAACTATGAAACGTCTTATCTAAAAGCATAAAAGTAGATTTATACGATATTTTTCGGTGTTTTAACAAGTGTCTAGGACATTCTTAAAATAAAATGTCATATTATCTATTCAATAATAAACTCATCTTTTTGCAAGACATTGTAGTCGTATAAAATAGCTAATATAACACTTTATTTTAAAAGCGTTCTGAAAAAACTTGTTAAAATGTCTAAAAGTGTCATATAAACGTATTGTAAAACTTTTAGATATGACCCCTTTTTGGTTTGATCTCATAAACTTAAGTTCTAGAGAAGTACTTTCTTGTAGCACTTGGACATTTTAAGCATCCTATAAAATCACTTTTGTAGTGTACATTAATATGGAAAATAATGAATATCAACACACTTTAACAACCATTAACATTTACTAACACACCTCACACACCTTAACATGAAAACTAGCATGTTAAGGTATGTTAGTGTGCCCAAACGAAAAATCGAAATACTGAATTGCCCCTCCTTCACAACGATAATGTGTCTTTTCGTCTGATCAAATGCTATTGGAAGTGAATTGATGGCCATGATCATGTCTCAAAGAAAAAAAAAGTTTTCATCGGAACCCAACCATATACGTACATACGTAAGTACGTACATACATACATGCATGCATACATACAAGTAGGGCTGTAAACGAACCGAACGTTCAACGAACCGTTCGGCGGAAAGTTCGTTTATGTTCGTTTATTTAATAAATGAACGAACATAAACAAATTTTTTTGTTCATTTAGTTAAACGAACGAACATGAACAAGAGTCATGTTCGTTCATTTATATTCGTGAACGTTCGTTTGTTCACCATTCGTTTATGTTCATTTATGTTCGTTTATATACTAAATTTAGTATATAATCTTTTGTTTATTTACTTTGAATTCAAATAATATTTATTTATGTTCGTTTAGCCCGTTCGTTTATGTTCGTTCTTTACCGTTCGTGTTCGTTCGTTTGTTCGGTTAAGTTAAACGAACGAACATGAACAAACTTCCGTTCGTGTTCGTTCGGTTCGTTTACAGCGCTACATGCAAGGTGGGTTCAAATGACAAGCATAAATTCACTGAACATCAAGGAAACTAAGGGGCAGTTTACTAATCTCTTACCACCTCTTACCCGTTAAGAGATGCTTACTCGGGTAAGAGGTAAAAGTGTTTACCTAACAACAAAATCAACAATCAGATTTTCGATCTTTGACCGTCTTCTTACTGGAGTCAGGAAAAAAAATGAATCTTACCGTGGTAAGAGGTATGTATTCCTAATCTACCCTCTTCATCTAAAACCCTAAATAGATGCATCTTTCTTTATACAAACACGTGGGTCATGTCTGATTCAAGGTGGAGAAGCATCGGTGTCCGGTTCAAGGTGTTGAAGGGTGACGGGAGGGCGGCGTGGGGAGGGCGGCGACGGGAGGGCGGCGACTGGAAGGGAGGCGACCGGAGGCGGCGATGGCGGCCGGTCTGGAGGTGGGAGAGAAGATAAGGGAAGTTTCAGGTTGAGAGAAATAGGGTTTTGAGGGTTTTGAGTGGAAAAGAAATACATGTAGATTAATAAAATTGGGCTTAAATGTATCTGGGCTGATATGGGCCAGTTTTTTTTTAATTTTATTCAAATATAATTGGGTTTAAATAATACAATAATTTTCAATTAATACTTATTCCAAAAAAAAAGGATATAATGGTCTTTTTTACTCGATCACCACTTAACACAAAATGTTTGGTAAACAATAAAATACAATTTGCACTTAATCCAGTCAGACCTCTTATCACAGTCAGACCTCTTACCCGAATCAGCACTTAACCAAAAAAATTGGTAAACGGCCCCTAACTATTAATAATAAATAACACTAAATAATTATGAATATTATTCATTATAAATATCTCATGAATATTATTCTTTGTAGATATATCAACAGGGAAAGGTTCATTTGAAAAGTGGTAAGTATTTAAGAAGTAAAAAGAGATCTTAGCCCTTTATCTGGTCAACATTTATGACTTTGACTGTGAAGCACGAAATAATTCCTCGCATGGGTATGCGAAAAATAGAGTGGCGATTTCGTAATTTTTACAAATAAGCGGCAAATGAATTCATATGTGAACCCGTTAATTAGTTCACATGCGAACTATTCACATATAAATCCACGAGTTCATATGTGAATCAGTTAAATAGTTCATATGTGAATCAATTAAAACAGTTGATATGTGAATTATTTGGGTTCACATATGAACATATAATTCATATGTGAATCACATATGAATCCGTTTGCTGCCTATTTGAAAAGTTACGATACCATCCCCTCTATTTTTCGTATAACCCCAAATTTTGAGCAGTTAAAGCTACAATTTTTACACAACCATATGAAGAGTTAGAACCACTTCTTTACTTCTCAAATAGTTATCACTTTTCAAAATAACTTATGACTATCTCAATAATCTTTAACACTACTTAGAAAAACCAAGTAAATATTATGATTCAATACTAGCAAAATTGCTTTGTTCTTGGTTCCCAAAAGAACCTGAAAATAGAAAAGAATAAAACAACTTCAATTCCAGTCCTTGTAAATTTTGAGATTTATAGTGTCTGGCTGAAAATAGACATCCAATGGGCTTAGTATTCAGCCCATATTTCTGACTGAAACCATCCACCTGACCCAACCCACTCCCAATCCCAGCCAGCCCATATGGCTTCATTTTCATACAAAAAGACTTTGGTTTGGACTTTGGTGTATCTAAAATAATTAAGCTTTATTAAATGCTATATTACAAAATCCTATGCTTTTATAAATTTTACACATTGGTTACAATTATTGGATGAAAATTAGTATATTTATGATTTTATGCTTAAAAGTTTTGAATATCTCTATTAAGTATAAAAATTACAGGGATTCTGATCATATCAGCCAGCTCCGGTCTTGTTTTTTTACTGGCTAAAAGTTTTATGAATCATATTTTATAACTTGGAAATTAGTCTAAAGATTCATAACTATGAAGACCAAGGCCAACTGATATTAGTTGGAACAATTGTTCTCGTCTATTATAGATCCAGTATCTATCAATCTTTAAATAAACCAAAAAACTTTAAATAAGTAGAATGCATGGCTAATCTCTATTTTGAACTCATCTTTGTCTTAACCTTCAATAAGGATTCTAACAATTTCTATTCATTGTCTATGAGAACAAGTCATCACAATGCTTGTATACAACTATTAGTCGAAAAATATTGAGTTGTCAAAACTGAAGTCGTTACCAAATTCCATTTGCCCAAACTGGAAGCCCACGTCAACGTTATGTGAACTGGTAGAAGATGTAGCAACCGATACAACATTGTTTACTTCAGATTTTGCAGCCACTGGACTTGAAATATTTCGGACTACACTCACTCGGGGTTGTGACATTGTGAAATAAGCGGGCACTGAGGTTGTCGGAGAGATGAAGGAAGGTGATGTATTACTATCAAATGCGTTATCAAGCGTTGGAAAAATTATACTATTGTTAGATGTTGAAGGGAATTGAAATGACGAGGTCTTTATATTTTCGGTTGTGGGCTTATCACATGTTTGGAGGTCCAATAGAAATTCGGGGCACCTGGGAGCTTGCTGGTTTTCTTGTTGTAGATGTTGAATAATTGATTGTGGCGGTGATGGCAATGGTAGTGGAATCGTTGAAGTTGTGTTGGTCCCAAGGTTACAGGTATGGCTTCCTCGATAAGATATGTTAAAGATATTTGGATCATCTTCAGTTCTTTGAACTTGTTTAGTTGCAAGACAACCTTCTGAATGACGATATGTACATCTATAATAACCTCTGCAAACCAGTACAAATGGATGTTATTAGAATCAAGCTCTTAAATTTTTAGAAACAATGTAAGCACAATCTAACTTAATTTGCATGGAGCAACTTGTCAATATTTTTATATTCATATTATTCACTTCATTGTTGAAAAAAAAATCTCATTTTATGATAACATATTTAATTAAAGGCACTAATTTGATTTAACTATAAGAGGCACTATATAATATATATATATATATATATATAATGATTGCAAACTATGTTATTTGTACAAACCGTACAAAACTCATTTAACCAGTCATAATTTTTTATATAGTTTATTTTCTTTGTAATTATGAGAGGTTGATTGATCATTTTTATTGTGGATATTATCATATTCATTATATTAATTTTAAAGAAATACATGAAACAGATTCATTAAAGTTTCATAACCATATATGAAACAACTTTACCAAAAATAGTATCATATGAAACAATTTTATAAGATTAAACGACAAAATCGACGGATGATGATGATTTACATGGTTTGTACAAATATGGATAGTGTAGATTTAATTGTTTTTATCTCTCTATATATTTAAATGTATGATGTGGATAAAATAAAAATTAATAATCTTGCAAGAAAAGGGGCCAAACGGAAAGAAAGTAGAACAATTCAAATGTCACAACCTCCTAACTCATTTTGTTAAAAATATTATTATTTTAATAATATAATATTATAATTAATCATATTTAATAGTTTAATAATATATAATATATACAATTGAGAAAAAGCAAAAAAAAAAAAGTGGATAAATGAGCAACATCTTTTTAACTTTCCTTAAAAATATTCTATTTAACATAAACTTATTTTGATTTGTTATATTTAGTGTTTAAAAGGTCATAAAAGATGCGTTATGACGTAAAAAGCGTCTCTGTCAATTACGAAATGTGCCATATCGTTTATGCGATGGCACCTTGAGGTGCGTTATAGCGCACCGCGAAGCGCGCTGTTTACGAGACATGATTTTTTTCAAATTTTTTTTTATCTTTTATGTTTTTAGAGTTTTAACTTTTGATTTTACATTTTTATAGATATATATAATCACACCACTCATAGTTTCATGAATTCATAAACGTTATAGAAATGACCATTTTACATGACAGGAACATATTTGAAACCCTTAAGATTAGCTATCGTCGTTCTTAAACGACCTACAATTACTACACCATCGTTAAATTGGTAATCATGGTCATGATTCTTGCTTATAGATTTTTCTGAAAAGTAGAATAAAATTTGGAAATGAGGTTCTTAATTTTGTGTATTCCCACAAATTAACATGATATAACATTGTAAACTGAACTCTATTTGTAAGTACCTGGGATGTTTGGCACCAAGAATGTCCTTTTGACCATACTTGCTCCAACTATACCCATCATCAAGACCTTCTTCAACCTCCATATCTGCTCTCACTTTCACTTCATTCTTCCACTTTTCCATACTACTAGGATTCCTACAATCAGTTCAGTCTTAATTTAGATCTATATATATATATACACACACACACACACACATATATATATATATATATATATATGTGAAATGGGTATGAGTCACAAAACAGTATCTCATTTTAAAAGTATGAGATTTACGTACCTCTTGGCACTGAAATCTTTGTGATCCTGCAGATCTTTGAACTCATGATCTGAATCTTGGGTGGAGAAGACTTGTGATTCCAGCTTTGTGATTCCGATTCCAGCATGCAAATGCGACTGAGTACCAATAGCATTGGGAGTGGTGAGCAAAGATAAGGATTTGTCGTAGGAATTGAGGATGTTATTGATCAAGATTTGTTGGGTTTGATGGGAAGATGAATTAGGGTCGTTGAGATGAATCTGGAGCTGTTTAGCGTATTCCTTACCTTGAGTCAACGATTCAATCACTCGTTTCTCATCCATATTACTTTTGCTCAACGACTCTCTTTAATTTGCATGAGATATATATATATATATATATATATATGTAGAGAGAGAGATATATATATATATAGAGAGAGAGAGAGAAAGAGAGAGAGAGAGAGAGAGAGAGAGAGAGAGATTTGTGTTGAGTTTGACATGAAGGAAGAAATGAAGTGATGGAAATATAAGGAGGAAAGAAACCGAGTTAAATTTGTTAGAATGAAGAAAGTCCAAGTCGTTGGTCATATTGAAATTGTAGTGGGAGCAAAAGGTTTGTGTTGACCATTTTTATCATCCAATCCAGTCATATTATTTCATAAACCTTTTCTTTCAAGTCGTATAATAAAATCAAGTCAAACATCACCATTCTTGGACCCTCTTTTCACTCCAAGTACAATTAAATAGGAATTTTGAGTTTTTATACCATTATCACATTATGTATTTGAAAAATATGCTTCAAAGTTGTCTCCGCATCAAAATTCGTAGAGACCCATTGAAGTCTCTCGCGGTCTAATAAATTATTTTTTTTGTTGGACGTTGATTTTAAAATTCCGAAATCCTCCGTCAAGTTGTGGTGACCCATCAAGATCTTGAAATGATGAACTGATGACGAAATCAATCAAGAACCTATTGAAATGGAGGAACGAACGAGCGAGCAAGAGAGAGATATGAGATGTTGATGCCAAGAGAGAGACATGGGGCCATTATGTGGAAGAAAACATATTTGAATATTAATGATACGACGAGTATATAATTGAGAAGATTTGTACTTTTATTTTAAATGTCTACAAAGATTTATCGCCACCACCAGTGCTGCCATGCCCCATCACCACCACCACTATGTCGCCACTTATACGGAATAGATCAACTAGTTGGTAGACTCTCATTCATGAATCCGTAGGATAAAAACAAACATAACGGAAAAATGTTCAATTCAAAATAGAATGGAAAGAAGCTCAACTCAAAAATGTCATTAGTTTCAGCTCATATAAAGTTACGGGGCCACCAAGATATGCACGGAAAGCTTGTGATAGGCCAACATATTTAAAACAGAGGGGTTTGGTCCATCTTCCGGCCCAAATTTTTTCATCTATGGCTCCGGATCCGACTCCAAAGATATTTTATGTTATTTTCGAATTTATTATGTTTAGTAAGAAGATTGTGTGAAATCAACAATTCTTTATTTTCATGCCACTACAAGAATATTATCGATCTCATTTTTAATTATCGGTTTTTGAATTCTGAAATTTTGGCCGACCTGTCAATTAGGGGTGAGCAGCGGAACCGGGTACCCGTTTGCGGAACCGGAACCGCCTTGGAACCGCCAGTTCCGGAACCTGAATCGATATGAGTGGTTCCGGTTCCGGTTCCTAAAATACGGAACCGATTGAGAACGGTTCCGGTTCCGGTTCTCAATTTTTCGGAACCGTTACCCGCCGGGTACCCGCCAGGACCGGTTCCGGGACCGGGTACCCGGAACCGACGGGTACCCTGAACCGGAACCGGCGGGTACCCAGTGTTTTTCAATAAAAAAATAATTAATTTTTTTAATACCAAATGTATATTATGTTACATCTTCAAAGGACGTGGTCATCTTCATTCTTCATCAACTTTCTAGTTCTACTAAACTACACTTCATAGTATGTAATCGTTAAGTTTTGAACATTTACAATTATAATATGTAATCGTTAAACTTTGAACATTTTCTATTATTATGGTTTATAATCGTTAAACAATATTTATAACCATTATTCCGTATAATTTGTATTATTGTTTATTTAATTTAGTGTTTTGGCAATATTTTATTTTTTATTTCTAAATAACAAAATTTTAATATTTTAGGAAGCGGGTACCCGGAACCGGAACCGGTTCCCGGTGGTTCCGGTTCCGGTTCCAAAAATTCAAGAACCGCTCTAATCGGTTCCGGTTCCGGTTCCAATATCTCAAGAACCGCCGGTTCCGGTTCCGGTTCCGGTCAAAAAAGGCGGGTACCCGCCTATGCTCACCCCTACTGTCAATATTAGTTTCGCCTACAATAGGTCTTCTAGTAATCATTTGAGGATCATCAAATAATATTGAAGTTTTTTTCTCATCTTTGAGTTTTACTTCACTTTCATTCTGCTTCAGCCACTGGCTAATTAATATTATGATTATTATTTTTCTAATTTAAGCAAAAACTATGAAAATGTTATCAAGGATATTTTTATAATTTTAACAAAAATTATGAAAATGTTATCAAGCGGTATTTTGGTCATTCTTTATTACATGGACAGACCTACTGTTGGTCCCGTTAGGGTCTACAAGATGTGTATAGCAGTTTGTAGAAAGGGGGGGAGGATAAATACAAACACAATATTTTCAAATTTAAAATATATATTGATAAGAGAAGATCAATACAGATTTTACAAGATTGTTTATGGAAAGATAAGGTAAGAAAAACCTATCTAAACAATCTAAAGTTTACACACTTAATCTTAGCAAATAAGAAAAGATTTGATTTTAAAGAAATAGAAGAAAGTAAGTTCTATCTGGGAGAGAACTTGTTTTCAATACAATGAAAGGGATTCTAACTTGCTCTTGAAGATAAGCGTATTTGTTCTTAGATGTGTGTTCTTTTACTTAAGCGCAAGAAAGCTCAGAGTAAGTTTTTTAGTAAGAGTATCTCTGCATGGAGATAGAACACATCTATTTATACTCGTTGCATTAAATGTGCATTTAATGCAACATGGTAGGGTTGGAACTCAGCTCAAAGTTATGAACTGTATAACAAGCTATGAAGACTTCAAAGCTAAGGAAGGAGAAACACTTGAAGAAACTATGAGAGATTCTCCATCTTGCTGAATGAGTTGAGTAAGAATGAGATATAGAAGACAATGATTAAAAACAATGTAAAGTTTTTGAGCAACTTGCAACTAGAATGGAAGAGTTTTGCAACCTATATCAAGCTAACACGTATTTATCTGAGATTGATCTACATGAGGTATATGAGACATTAAAGCATAATGAAGAAGAAATGACGGAGATTAGAGAAGCCAAGAAGAAAAATGAGAAACCAACAGCAGTTCCACTGGCATTAGTTGTTGAGAGAAGAGAAAGACATTCTTTTGAAAGCTCCAGGAGAGAGGGAAAAGGGTGAATCATCTAGAAATGATGAGAATGGCAGTGAATTTGATTCTGAAATGCAGGAGTTAAAGCAAGAAATGGTACTTCTCACAAAAGCTTTTTATAAAAAGTTTTATAAGAAGTCTTCTTCCAACAGTCAAAGATATTTGTTGGGTTTAAGTTGTGCTTAATTGTTGTATTCAAGTGTTTCTCCTTTGTAAATTTTGTCTTTAATGCTTTGTAGATATAAATAGTCTTTTCTTTGTAATCTTCTAAGAATTTGAATACAATTACATTTGGTGAAAATTCTCTCTAACGTTCAATATTCTGTTCTTGATTATTGATTATCTGATTGAAGATTTGGGATTCACAATATTCTTCGGGTTTTAAGCATTATGAATACAAGGATAAGTTTGAAGGGAAAAAATTGAAGGTAAAAAGATTGTTGGACAGAAGAAAGAGGACAAGGAAAGTGAGGAAATGATCAAATGCTATAATTGTTGAAAGCCTGGTCACTACACCAGAGATTGCAAAAAGCCTGTAGTAATTCTGATTACTACAAGAACAAGATATTGTTGTCTAAACAAAAAGAGGTTGGTAAAGCTCTTATGGTTGATGATGATCATTGGCTCAATGTTACTGATGATGAAGTTGAGGAAGATGTTTATGTTCACTTGCTTCATGGCAAAGGAATCTAAGGACTGTAGCTCAGAAAATGATGATAGTAATTCATGCTATTCGGAATCTTCATTAGAGGTAAATCATCTTACTTATACTGATTTTGTGGAACAAATGCAAAGTATGATGTTAAAACTCCAAGATTTTCAAGAAAAGTTAAAGGAGAAAAATCTTGTCATGGTTGCGTAACTCAATGAGTCAAGAGGTTCGGGTGACCTGTCACACAACTTAAGTCTCCCTACAATTTGTGCCAAGCCCTTGTGCTAGTTTTAATCCATTCTTCTAGCGTTTACTTGCCAGTTGAGGTGATTTTGGAAACATTTGGGACGATATTCTAAGGCTTTTGGGGGAAATTTGAGAGGTTAGCATGGAGAGTGAAGATTTATTGTTTAAGGTCTCAAGTTTGACTAAAATCTAAGGTTTTTCTTGGAGGTAGATATCTCCATTGAAGATCTTGGCTTGGAGGTTTCAAGTTCTTCATCACCAGAAGGCTCAATCTAAAATTTAAAGGATCGTTGTTACAAAGAGGAAGTTAATTGCTAAAGTTTTGTTATATTCAAGCTTGATTTGTAAATTTGAAAAAAATTCATTGAGGAATATGAGATTTAGAGGTTTAATTTAGAAGTTTCAAGCTTTATCATTGGAAGCTAATGAATTGTTGGAATCTTTGTTCACCTAACCTAGTAAAGTGACTTCATTCATGTCATAAATATTTCCAGTTTAGTTTCAAATGTTTCCTTGAGATTATTATCAAATTTTATTGGGTATTTGATATTTTCTTAGTGGTACATTTGAGTTCATAAAACATTGAGAAACGCTTATATTTGAGTTTTTGGGACAATTTTGAGATACATATCATAAAAAAGCATGATTTTGATAAATTCTTACATCTATTATTAGATTTTTGTCATTTGTCTCCCGGAACAATTTGAGGTTATAAATCATTGAGAAATATCTCTAACAGGTTTATTGAATATTTTAGGGAGATAAATCATTTGAGATTCATCATTCAAGCATTTGTTTCAATAAAATGAGGTTTTCTCCGCATTGGGACATGAAATTACATATATCATTTAGAAAATTAATATTGTTTACTTACGTTGACTTCTCTTGAGTTAATCAAGTAAGTTGAGGATTTTGTTGAATTGGATTTCATTCAAACGTGTTTTGAGATTTTGCCTAACTTTAATCGTCTAATGTCGATAATTGGATGTTAGATTGCATGATTTG